GATCTAACGCTGCAACGTGGATTTCAAGGTGGTGAATATTACATTGAAATCGATCAGAAGGTAGGATTTCACTTGGAAGTGTTGGTCCTGTAGGGCGTATGGCGGCGATATCCCTACTTCTCTTCACGATATTCTATTGAAATAAAAATTTTCTCTATTATCGGTACTTTCTTTAGTATAATTGGTTTCAAGCATCCCACGAATGTGCCCGTCGAGGTTTGAGACTTGTTGAAATACCAGACGCCAGAAAGAATGCCGATTTATTGAGTGCACTAAGAAATTACGTTGGTATGTAGAAGCCTACTTCAGAGCAATATTTTGTTTTGAAATATAATACTCTCACAATATGTATTTCATTTTAGGAAATCCTAAAAATTTTTGGATAGGAGCAAATGATGAATATAATACTGCCAAAGATTTCCATCGTCCTTTCTACTGGTCGTCGTCTGGTGAGCGTGTAACATTTACAAATTGGGAAAACAATCAACCGGATAATCATCAAAGCAATGAACACTGTGTACAGTTATGGTCAATAACAAAAAATTACGAATGGAATGATGCACTTTGTACTAGCGAAAATGGATTTATATGTGAAAATCCAATTAAATGTTCGTATTAATGGTCAATTTGTTTAATAATTATTTTAATTATATTTAATAAAATAAATTTATATTTGGGCAAAGTAAAAGTTAATTATTGTATTGTTACAACTTATCGGAAATACTACATAATTATTTTGAAGGTATCATTGAAAGCTTAAAAAGGATTCCAAAATTATCGTAACCACCATAATTGAAAAACTGCAACATTGACGCCGAATGCCGGAAATTAGTTAATGAGTTAACTAGTCTTGGGCAATCTCGTTCAGTTGAGTGATCGAACAAACTAGAACATTCTTTAAAAGTGAACTAGGTCGTTCACCTCCTTCAGTTGGTTATATCATTCAAATGGTTACTCAGTTCAATTGGCATGACAGCGTATTCCAATTAAGTTCTGGCACAATCATTCATTTGTGCCCCAGACAACTGCTTCTTCCTGGTTGTGAGTTTATGCGATATCCTTACTCACCTCCTCTACCATCTTGTCGGCATCTTCTCTCTTCCGGGTCTTCCAGGCGCTTATGTTTGTCTGATTATCATGTTCAGACTCAAAATTCGAAGTTGAGTCCCCGTCCTGTCTCTGAAGGCTGGGTCGAGATTTCTCTTTCCCTGTGGTTCCTCAACTCTGAATCGTTGTTGCCCGATGGCTGAGTGTTTGTAGCTGGAGGAAAGGTCAGGCTTATCCTTTTGAGCCTCTGTCAGCATGTCGCACTTTTTGTTCATCCGGTTCATTCTGGCCAACTTCCGCCTTTGTACCCCAGACAACTGCTTCTTTCTGGTTGTGAGATTATGCGATATCCTTACTCACCTCTTCAACCATCTTGTCGGCCTCTTCTCTCTTCCGGCTCTCCAAGACTGTTATATTTGTCTGATTATAATGTTCAGAATCAAAATTCGAAGTTGAATCCCCGCCTGTCTCTGAAGGCTGGGTCGAAGGACTTTCTTATCTATTTTCTCGTTATATTCGGCAGCACCCTTGTTTGCGCTGCAAACAAGGACATCTTTGCCTCTTTTCTGTGGTTTCCAGCTCAATGGGTATCTATGGGGGTGCTTTGCTTTTAAATGTCGCTTTATATTATTTACTGACCCTCCAGCTATACGTAAAACACTACTGCAGCATTTGATCTCTTAAGCACCGCATTCCATGAAATGTGACAACAATATATTACACGTACCTTCATTCAATTTAACAGATTTTATATGAAATTGTTATTTGGTTGGTCAACAACACTGAAGGTGTAGAAAAAAATACAAAGTCGTTCAGTGAGCAACGCCGTTCAGAGAGCGAGTGCGTTTGGTAAACGTAATCGTTCAGTGCACGACAATAATAAAAACTGAACTATGTCGTTCACTCGTGACGAACTATCTCGTTCAGTGTACTGACTCGTTCAATTGAACTAGGTAGTACACGAACGACACAAAACTATTTTTCAGGATTTTTCGAATAGCGTCAGGTCAGATGGCCTTACGAAATGGTTCTTTTATGCGTTCAGCAATTTGCGATTTCAAAAGTATGCGATTATAAGTCGACATCTGACAAACTATGTCGTTAAATCAATGTTTTTCTTTTCAGTTGAATGTCTGACCACATACACATATCATGTTTTAGGAGCAGATTATGGTTTATATATTGGGAAGATATTTAAAGAGACTCGAGCAGTTACAAATATTGTAAGGCCGTTTTCCTCGTTTTGCTGAAAATAACGCTGCTGAAAGTGAAAGTGCTGCCGAAGACCCGAATGCGTCAATTCATCGCCGTTTCAGGAATATTGGCTGTCTTACACATTATGGTGTATTTTGCATTTAGATCAGCCACAAAGAACCGTTTTTACACTCGTTTGCATGCTGCAGATTTAGATCTACCCTACATCATTACCAACGTTGTAGATACGTAGAATTGGTGCAACAGGTGGTTGACGGAAATTTTTCGAAAAAAAAAAACATTCTTCAGGGGTTAAGCACATTTTTTAATCGAGGGGTATGTTAATAACCAAAATTGCCATATTTGGGGTTCTGAGAATCTTCAAGCAAACGAAGAGCGGTCAGTATATCCAGATAAAGTCACAGTTCGGTGCGCTTTTTGTTTGGAAGTTGTGATCGAACTATACTCCTTCGAAAACGACGATGGATTGTCACTGTCAACTCGGAGTGTTATGGTCGTCTTTTTTATCTGCTATTTAGGAATACGACATGGAGAATATATGGTTTCAACAACAGGACGGTGACATATGCCCCTTGCGACAATAGCAGACAGTGGTCCAAAACGCCAAACTAGCTGGAAAAAAGTCGTAACTTCTCTTCGGAAGCAGCAATTTTCATAACCGGAGACTTTGTTTGTCTAGTAACTTTCGATACTTGAGAATTAACGCATTCCTTCGACCAAACATTAATTTCCTTACATATCATTCGGCGGGTAGCTCTAACACCTTCCGATTTTTGCATTAAAATCTCCTAGCAGAATTTTAATATCATGGCCAGGGCAGCAGTCTTCTATTCTCCTATTAACCAAAAATCTGCACCCAAATGCATGTCTCGTTTTATATCAGCTATAATAAAGGACGTAATCATCTGATTTACTTACGTCACTCCCTTCCATAGAATTTCCTGTAAGCAATAATATCGGCTTTACACTTCTTGAATACATCCACCAAAGCGAAAACTGTGCCAGTTCTGTACAACGTGCGCACATTCATAGTATTGGGATTTTCCGAATGTGAGCAACTAACACGGCGGCTCAACCCAATTTTTTATAGTTCTTATTGGTGAACTCGCGGCGCATATCAGCTCCCTATTTCAAACGGATGATGAAAGTAGCTACCCCAGTTGACACGGCGGGGACGTCAGTGTCCACAATTGAATTGAAAGAGGGGCCAAGATACTCCTGGGCTTTGCATTTTTTAAGGCAATCAGAGCCGTTGCTTGGTATCTATCATCCCCTACACCGTCCTCCGTAGGGTAGAGTAATAATTTGGCCCTTAGAACGATATATGTGATGATTATGCCATTTTTGTCCTGTGTACTTTTATGAAAAGTACACCAACTCACTTTACTTGCTTGTATTTTTGAGGTGTGCATCGAAGACCTTGAAGTGGTCTGTAAATTACTTTCTTCCTTGTAGGATAATAAATTTACTGATGTCTACTTTTAAGGATGGAATGACGATCAGATGTAAATTCTCTACAGATGTCAACTACTGATACATGATTATCAAAAAATTCCATTGTCGTTATTCCAAGGCTGCGGGAAAAAATATCCATTCAAACATCAGATTGACGAATGTCCAGCATATGGTCTTGATTGTTGTCCTGTATGAATTTTATGTGAAGTCCATCACCTCACTTTACTTGTCCATATATTTGGGGGTTTTCATCAAACACCTTGAAGTGGTCTGTATATTGCTTTCTTTCGTCTAGGATAATATTTGATTTGAATTTTGCCTACCGGTCATAAGCTCAGGATTTATGTGCGCTACAATAGTCCACAGGTGATACATGTTTACCAAATAATACCACTGCCATTTTGCCATGACTGAAGAAAGGCAATTTCAGATTGATAGATGTCCTGCATAGGGTGGGCTAATATCTTGGTTGTTATCCTGTATGAAATTTATCAATATACTTGCCCTTATTTTTGGGAATCTGCATCGAAGATCTTGAAGTGGTCTGTAAGAAATATTCTTTCCTGTAGGTTAATAAATTTACTGATGTCTGCTTTATCGGTCATTTTCTTGTAATTATTCGAAATATTCGTATGTATCTCTAACGCTTTAAAACCCTCTCAGAACACCGCTAATTCCTGACCCACCTCCAGATTTTATTTAGTGTTTATCTTCGTATTTATTTGTAAATTGTTTTATAATACTGTATTCAACGCCCAGTCACACGTGTTTCACAACGGGTCACTCTAGGGCCAATAATGCTAGTTTGTAAGGCTTACTGACTACCTTCTTAGCTCAGTTCAACTCAAAACGTCTAGTAAATCACTGCACCTTTAGCGACGGCATATCGATTGACATTATTTTCCCATTTATAAGTATATAATATAAATTATAATTATGACAATTTATTGGCATATATTATATATTTTTGCAATTATTTTGCTATATGCAAATTGTAAGTTTTGAATTTTAAGTAAGAAAAATTCCACAAACAAATTTAATAAGCAATTTCTATTGGTATAGTTGGCACAAGGGTCGAGGGCTATTCTCGAACACATCGTAACGTTATATATCCACAAGATAATTGGGATAATTGTTATGTCGACAATGAATCCCATGTTGCGGGATTGTGTAAAAATGTCAACGATTGTCCGGTGGTTCTAAAAAAGTGGCAGGAGGATAAAATATATCCAAAAACATGTTATTTTATAAAAACGGAACAATTTGTATGCTGTCCCATATCAATGGATGATGACAGGAATGTGAACTCAACCACGTCCACCACTACTACAACGGAAAGTACTAACTTAAAATCGTCTCACATCACTACTTCATCGGATGAGATTGAAGTGGATATAAATCGATACTTACGAAGTCAATTAGGTAATTATAAAAAATTTAAGCCTGAGCTTAAATTGAGGGAATAACTAATACCGCAATCATTTTTTTAATTCAATAGAATGTAATCCTAAGACCAGAATTCGAACACTTGTTATTCATGGTACTGCAACCAAGCCAGATGAATTTCCATTTATGGTAAGAATGCGACGCCTTATGGGAAGCTATAGAAAAATTATTTTAAGTGATTATTTATACTCTTTCGAGTCGAGCTTGATGATCTAAATTTTGCAATGAAAAGGAAAGCCAGGAGAAGAACCTACGTACCCACCATTATGCGACGCGTTTCGCCGTTGGTTAAGCGGCTCATCAGGCATATTGGGCTATGTAGCTTTACAAAGGTCGTACGTTGATAACTTGTATTTATTCCGCCCTGATGCGAAACTTGCATATGCGAATTAAATTCAAATTTGTCAAAGTTCGAAATTTGTCTTCATTCTAGGAACAGTCCTTTTCAAAGCAGATTTTTTTTTGTTGTAGCGATGGATAATTAATCCACACACCTACAATTGCTTCCTGGTATACACATGTTTTTGCGCAACCGTTTTTGGAAGTGTTGATGGCTCAGAACGTTAAGCGGTCTTGGCAACATCTTGTGTTGCTCTGAGGACCTAGGTTCGAGCCCTAGCCGTGCTCGGCTGAAATTAATTTTTGTTATTTGAATTTTTGTGATCATTTGAAAAGTGATTTTAAGTGATTATTTATACTCTTTCGAGTCGAGCTTGATGATCTAAATTTTGCAATGAAAAGGAAAGCCAGGAGAAGAACCTACGTACCCACCATTATGCGACGCGTTTCGCCGTTGGTTAAGCGGCTCATCAGGCATATTGGGCTATGTAGCTTTACAAAGGTCGTACGTTGATAACTTGTATTTATTCCGCCCTGATGCGAAACTTGCATATGCGAATTAAATTCAAATTTGTCAAAGTTCGACATTTGTCTTCATTCTAGGAACAGTCCTTTTCAAAGCAGATTTTTTGTTGTAGCGATGGATAATTAATCCACACACCTACAATTGCTTCCTGGTATACACATGTTTTTGCGCAACCGTTTTTGGAAGTGTTGATGGCTCAGAACGTTAAGCGGTCTTGGCAACATCTTGTGTTGCTCTGAGGACCTAGGTTCGAGCCCTAGCCGTGCTCGGCTGAAATTAATTTTTGTTATTTGAATTTTTGTGATCATTTGAAAAGTGATTTTAAGTGATTATTTATACTCTTTCGAGTCGAGCTTGATGATCTAAATTTTGCAATGAAAAGGAAAGCCACAAAAATTCAAATAACAAAAATTAATTTCAGCCGAGCACGGCTAGGGCTCGAACCTAGGTCCTCAGAGCAACACAAGATGTTGCCAAGACCGCTTAACGTTCTGAGCCATCAACACTTCCAAAAACGGTTGCGCAAAAACATGTGTATACCAGGAAGCAATTGTAGGTGTGTGGATTAATTATCCATCGCTACAACAAAAAATCTGCTTTGAAAAGGACTGTTCCTAGAATGAAGACAAATGTCGAACTTTGACAAATTTGAATTTAATTCGCATATGCAAGTTTCGCATCAGGGCGGAATAAATACAAGTTATCAACGTACGACCTTTGTAAAGCTACATAGCCCAATATGCCTGATGAGCCGCTTAACCAACGGCGAAACGCGTCGCATAATGGTGGGTACGTAGGTTCTTCTCCTGGCTTTCCTTTTCATTGCAAAATTTAGATCATCAAGCTCGACTCGAAAGAGTATAAATAATCACTTAAAATCACTTTTCAAATGATCACAAAAATTCAAATAACAAAAAAAAAATATAGAAAAATTATTTAAAAAAAAAGTGACGCCTTATGGGAAGCTAAAGTAAAATTATTTAAAAAATGCTACGCCTTATGGGAAGGTATAGAAAAAATAATTTAATAGAAAAATTATTTCAAAATCTACGCCTTATGGGAAGCTAAGAACAATTATTTAAAACATCTTCACCTTATGGGAAGCTATAGAAAAAGTATTTAAAAAATCTAAGACTTATGTGAAAACTATCAGCAGTTGTCGTCAAAAAGTTATATAGAAATGCTCTTGAACAATATTTAACCAAAATTATTCGTCTTCATATATTTTTTTAGGCCGCTTTAGGATGGAACTCAAACTTCGATGACAAACCATGGTATCGATGTGGAGGTGCGGTTATTTCACCTAAGTTTGTACTAACGGCGGCCCATTGTGCAGACATTGGGGGGTGAGGAATCAATTCCAAATATCGCTTTTATTATTCAATAACAATCCTTTTTGTGGAGAATTTCCTAGTGTGGTTCGTGTGGGTGGTTCAAATCTGACAGATCCCTCAGTTCGTGATGTGAAAATAAAACGATTTATCAAACATCCTCAGTATCAGGCTAAACAAGTGCGAAATGATATAGATTTGGTGGAGCTTGACGAAGAAGTGAAAGGGTAAGTACATAATATGTAACAACCTTTTACCAAAGTTAAGGAATAATAAAATAAACTTTTTCAGCATTCAAGCTGTATGTATATGGCCCAATGCAAACATAAGTACAAATAATGTAACTGCTATGGGTTACGGTCACATCCATTTCGGTGGCATGGGTTCATCACAATTACTTAAGGTACAGCTACAAATTGTTCCGCACAGTATTTGCCAAGAATATTATATGAACATGAATGATACAAATTCACTTGATCCTGAAGTGCATTTATGTGCCGGTGATCCAGAACGTTTACGTGACACTTGTCAAGGTGATTCCGGCGGTCCATTGATTATGGAAGAATTTAATGAGAATTTTAAAAATCAATATATTGTTGGTGTTACATCATTTGGACTGGGTTGTGCTGGCGAACCGCCATCGATTTATACCCGTGTATCGAACTATTTAGAATGGATTAAAGATACGTTATATCCATTAAATTTTGATTAAGTGTTGTCGGGCGAAATATACATACACCTTGTTGATATATTAAATTATGAATAAAAATATGTAAAACTATTATAATCTAAAAATAAAAATATATACAAATAGGTGTGATAGAACATGAAAAAAAATAACGAAATTCGTAGGCAAATATGATTTATAGCGAAGGTGGAGCGAAGAGTTCTTTTATGGGAAGCTATAGAAAAATTATTTAAAAAATCTACGCCCTTTGGGAAGCCATAAAAAATCTACTCTTTATTGGAGGCTATGGAAAACTTATTAAAAAATAAATACCCTTCAGCAGCTGTCCATAAAATGAGATATTGAAATGCTCTTGAACAATATTTAACCCTTTTCCAAATGCTATTTCTAGGCCGCTTTGGGGTGGAACTCAAACTGCAATGACAAACGATGGTATCGATGTGGAAGTGCGGTTATTTCACCCAAGTTTGTACTAATTTCAATAATATAGGTAAATCGAAAGCGATATGATATTTAATGCATCCTCTTCTGAAATACCCGCCATTCATGTAGGTAGCATTGAAATCGAGCATTTCGACCACATGAAAACATTAGGCATTTATATTGACTACAAGTTGAACTTTCATGTTCACAGTCACTATGTTGTTTGTGGTATCACATTTGCATTGCGCCGACTTTATAGAATTCCTTGCGATCTGAGTTTCAATATGAGAAAAATTCTTGCACGAACCTTATTCATGCCTATTATTTTGTATGGACTGGAGGTATATACGGGAACAACAGCCTCAAATATTCTGTGTTTAAAGCAGTGTTGGGCAAAATTAAATTGAGAGCAAGTGTGTGCGAGCATAACTGAGAATTCTCCATTAAAAAAAGACTGACGTAAGGAGAAAGAAAGAGAACATGTGTTTACCAGGGTTAAAAATGCAGCATCAAAAAATATTAGCATTAGTCTTACAGAGCTACTGCTAAAAAATATTGACATTATGACTAAATCAGCAAACGGCTAGCTTTTTCAGTTCGTAGCATCCGTGCTAAGCACGTATTGCACATGCGAGCTTTTTTTGTTATGACTAATCGGCAGTACGACTACATATTCATATTTCGCTGCCGACGAATAATCATCCGAGGGTTGTTTTTATGTTTGTGTGTTGCCAACGCAGATATTAGAAAAATGAATTTCATTTTGTGCGTTTTTATTTAATTTAAACTTGTCAAATCGCAATTAAAAACTGTCAATAATAGTACTAAAAACTAAATAATATATTAAATTAAACTCTTTAGCAAGTATTACTAATTGTCTTTGTTCGAAAAAATGAAATTATCATAATCGCGATTTTTAATTCTCTCATATAATTTATAAAATTTCAATGGGCAACACTGAACTCGAAAAATGCTCGGGTTTTGTTTGCTAAAAATCTTGCTAAGCAGCCACAGTCAAGGTGCTTAGTCTTCATTGTAAGCTTTGGTTGTTAGTCGCGTTGACAATTATGTTGTAGTTGTTCATTGCTATTTTGTAGCTGCTGACAAAATCAAGAAGCTTTAGTTTTGCTTGCTAAAATTATTCGTATGTATTGCTATTTGTTGCAGTTGTGCTTGGCTGTGCTTCATATTTTGAGGATGAATTTAGTTAGCAGTGTGGCATTTTTCTGTTCTTTTGCTATTTTGCCGTTAGCATTTTAAACCCTGGTGTTTACCCATCGACTATCATTTACGGTAGCGTATATGGGAAAGCATGCCTGATTTAAAGCGATGTTTCAATAGAATAATTCGATATGTGTATAGACTGCGTTCATGTGAACATGTTACACAGTATGTTTTAGATTTTTTAGGATGTTCGTTTGATAGTTTCATCCAAATCAGATTGCTATTATTATTATATAAAGCCTTTAAATATGGATCTCCGAAATATATTTTGACAATGCGATTGAACACATTGACATGTCCGAGGTTTAATTCCCTTATAATGCAGCACTCTTTTGAGGTTCGAATTTGTAGACTTTGGAATACATTTATGCCATATGCAGAAATAAACTTTTCTCACGCTATACCATAGCAAATCCGTTATTTGCAATAGGCAAAAATATCTCTATTAACCCTTTGTGGCCCAATGTTGCCCACTGGCAACAAAATGTTGTAGAGTTTATATTTATTATATAAGACCTGATAATGGACGACACATCACAAGAAAATTCTAAAAAATTTAAATTTTTGGTAAAGTTATTAACCTCTTTAAACAGAGAAGAGGGCAAAAATCTGTGTGTACGAAATGTACGAATTCTGCCGTCAGAATTATTTTTGATTCTTGTAAAACAGAATATAGAGGATAATTTAAAATGATTTTTTGGTCGATTTTGCATTTAGTTCTCTTGATACTGGGCTTTTATTTTTCAGAAAGAATGTACTATATCTCCCGAATGCAAGGATATAGCGATGTCAAATTTTGTTCATATCCTATCTAGGATAGTTGCATTGAATCAGTGAACTGAAAATTGTTCTATGATTAAGAAAAAATTCGGGGCTCAAAGGGTTAATAATGGTCTAATTTATATTTGTAAATACATGTATAAGCATAAATCCCATTCCCATGATACATTGCAATAATTTAAATTGTTTTATATACAAATATATATAAGATATATTACAGTAGCGTGCAAATTAATAGCAGTTCAGTTCTGCTTCTAAATATATGTGCTATATTCTTTAAAATAATCTTAAAAATTCGTTTCTTTCTACATTTGTTTATCCCTATTTTGTTGCATACTTTATGCCATTTATATGTAAATAATGAAAATAATCAGAAAAATTTTACCGATAATTTTTGTTTGCCTTTCTCTTTTGTTCTCTTGCATAATAATAGCAGTGGAGTAAGATAATGTGTAAAATCGCATTAATATTAAAATTTTTAGTTTATTATTGCGATCAGAATATTTTTGGCTTATAATTTTTTTTTTTTTTTTTGGAAAAATGGGCCGCGGAAAACATTGTACAAATGAAAAACGAGAACTCATACAAAAATTGATTTCTGAAGGAAAGGCTTACAAATGTATACAAGATGGTGTTGGATGGTCTGCGAAAATGATCTCTAACGCCATAAAATAGTCTCCCAAACCAGAAACGCGTGGACGAAATAGAAAAATCTCTCAATTTGATGAAAAAAGGATCATAAGAGTCCGAGATGAGCCCAAATCATCTGCTACGGAATTGAAACAAAAATTTAACCTTGAGTTCATGCATGTACAATCAGGAGACTCATGCTGCATTACAATTTTTTGGCTGGATCTTCAAAAAGGACCTCTACTTAAAAAAATACATACTATCAAAAGATTAAAATTTGCAAAAGAACACCTAGATTGGCCTCATTTTATGGTCTGACGAGACCAAAGTTGTTTATAATTTAATTTAAAAAGAGCAAAGCGTCTAATAAATAAGTGAAAAAAAAAATTAAAATTCTTTTGTTTATAAATCAAGAACACCAAAATTGTATGTTCAATATAATAACTGCTATTATAATTCACGCTACTGTATATGCCATCAGAAATTGAATTAACCTTGTAATGAAATTGGCACTAGGGCTTTATAATTATTACCTTATGTTGGAGGGTATAATAAATTATCAAAGAGTGATTTTTTAATAAAAAAAAAATAATTTTTGACAAAGAAAAGGAAAATGAACTTACCCCTTTCAAAAGTTACAGCATTTTGCCTAGGAAAAAAAAACGATTCTGAACCACTGTGCGACGATAATTAACGGCAACAACTACTCCGAATTTGCAACAAGTTAATACGCACAATCACTGCACTACAGCAAAAAACGTCATCAATAAATATACTGGCACTGGAGTGTTGAACAAAAACAACAACAAGATTATCAAAAAGAGAATAGAGGAGTGCTTACGACTCGATTAAATCACGCCACCACATTTGATGTAAATATTTTAAACACACTTTTCAAACGATTTTCATTAGGAATTTTTTACATTTCACAAACACTATACATAGATAAATTTTCATACACTTTTCCATTATTATAATTGAAAATATCCCTTTCAAACATGCCTCGAAACGAGCACGATTTATTTACCATTTTTTCTCGATCTTAATACACGCACGGACAAATCATCACCGACTAATTGTCAAAAAGCACAATGAAGTTGAGACAATGATTACTGAGAGTGTGTCAGATTCTTTTCAAATGCATACGAACGAAATAAAACAACAACAACACTACGAAAGAGGTAAGAGTGCAGTGAGACTCCATTAAATGACGCCATATTTGATGGTTGGGGCAGAAATTCACACTTTTTAAACACAATTTTCACAGGGAATTTTAAATATTTTTGTATATTTTTTTTAAGAAAATTGTTTAATAATAACTCAAGAACCGTTTTATATAATTTTTCTATAAGAAATTCGACAATATCACGTTTAAAAATGCATTGAAAAGGACACCACTTTTGTTATCGATCTTAACGCACGCACAATTAATTTCAGACTAATTGTCATGAAAGAGCAGAATGAAGATGAGACAATAATAATGATTACTGTTATTCCTCTCTATGTGTATGTGTGTGGATGTGTTGTTGTTGTATGCAATGAGTGGGGAGAGCTCCAGTGATTTGAAAGGTGTTTTTATACCCTTTGGCATAAGGTGTTTGTTGAAATCAACGCAGAGCTCGCAATTTTGAAGGTAGAGCTTTAACCCTTTCAGTGTTTTTGTCGAATATAATCGACATTTAAAATTACTCTCTTTCTTTGCGATTTTTCGATCATTTTATGTACCGTTACTATTGATGGCTTTATTTTTGCTGAAAGTCAGACGAAACTGTCCGAGGGTTAAAATGAAAATTCCTATTTTTTCTAAACTCTATACCTTTATATGATTTTCATTGTGCAAAATTTTAGATTTTTATTCCGACAACATTTTTTCTTGACACTGAAAGGGTTAAAATTTTGCAAAGATATTGGTAGTACTTCTAGGATGTTTGGTAATGAAAATGATATATCGGTCTACGTTTTGGTATAGACCCCATTTAAATTTACACTTAAAAAAGTGTTTTTTGGGAGATCTGGACTTAATTTCACAACCGAATTGACGGTAATTTAGTATATTGGCTTCACATTGGGTATCAAATCGTCGTACTAAATATGTTCTAAATCTATCCACTTTTTAGGGTAGTTACCTTATAGGGTGATGGACACATTTTTCAACCGAATTGACTGCGATTTGATATTTTTAACTGTTATTCTTCCTAACAAAAATTATGTAAATCGATCCACCTCAACCGATTTTGGATGTAATTTGATATTCTGTGTTCAACAAATGCCACAAAAGGGTCTTCAACTCAATTTCCTACCAAAAATTATTTTCGTAGGTACAATTTTTAGGGTGGCCCCCACAGAATGCCCCATTCTAAATTTAGGAGTTTTGAAAATTTTGATACGTTTTTGCTCCAACTTCCTACTAAATATGTTCTAAATGAGGGAAGCTTCCTTATAGGACCCCTCTCAAGAATGTTTTTCATCAAAATCGATATCGATCCACTTTAAACTCTATATAACGGTATTCCCCATTTTTCTATATTTTAGGGAGTTTGAAGACGTTTACAACCGAATTGGTTCCAATTTGATTCTCATTTGGGGTTCAGATTTTCCTACCAGCATGTACTGTTGGACATTTTCATGGTCTTTCTCCAGATCTTTTAATTTTGACTATATGTTGGATATCTAGTAAGAGAGAATCTAGGCATTTCAGTTGTCGTGAGAGACTCCGCTTCTTCTTTGAGAGTAGAGAGGTATCCTTATTTTACTTCCGCGTTCGTGCAAAACGGATGGCTTATGTTCCCGTTCTGAAGAACTGGATGTTCTGCATCCTCGTACTTCGCTCTTATTATTCGAATTATATTTGGTGAACTCTCTTTTTGTCCAATGCTTCCCATATGGCATTTCGTCTAATGATGTCGAAAGTTTTCTTGAAGAAGAACAGTAGACACTGGGGGTATGGCATTCTATATATTCCACACATCTTCAATTTGGTCTGAAACCATAAATTTTAGGTTTTCCAATTGCCTTTTACTTATTTCCTTATGATTGCTAGAATTTTGTATATGGTGTTGAGGATTATTCCTCTCCAGTTGTTCTTTTAAATCGTCATTTTTGATCAATTTCACAACGATGGATTTCTTCCATGTTCATGGAGGCAATAATTCAGCTGGAGGGTTACATATTTCGTTTCTGACGTTACTGATTTCTTCGAAATGTTCTCTCCTCTCTATATGAAGTGCAATGATCATGACAAACACATCGACACATTCCATCTATTCGTCGACTATAAAACCGCATTCGACAGCCCATCCCCTCAGATGTGTTTAAAGACTGCGTTCGGCATTCCTGCAAAATTAATACGGCTATGCAGGATAACTTTAATTGGCACATGATCAGCAGTTAAAGTCGAAAAGGCTTCTCGGAGCCCTTTAATACCGAACAAGGATTCAGACAAGGTGACTGTTTGTCGTGTGACCTGTTTAACATCCTACAGGAAAACGTCACTCTGTACCCCAAACAACACATGTTGCTCACCTACGTTGATGACATCGACATAATGGGTCAAACATTGCAAGCGATAACAGCCACCTTTCAATGAATTGAGATGGAGTCGGTCAAAGTGGGACTGGCAGTAAATGCCGAAAAGACCAAGCACCCCTGAACGAATAAGGCTATCGAATGCGGCTTTATAGTCGACGAATAGGTGGAATGTGTCGATGTGTTTTTCGTAGGTTTTTTCCAGGATTTGGCGCAAAGTGAAGATCTGGTCAATGGTGGATTTGTCAGGTCTGAAGCCGCATTGGTATGGTCCAATAATGCCATTGACCATTGGCTTCAGTCGTTCACACAGTGCGCTGGATAGCACTTTATATGCTATAGACTAATTCCTTCATAGTTGGCACATATCGTCTTGTCTCCTTTTTTGTGCACGGGACAACAGGATGCAGAGGTTCCAATTATTGGGCATGCATTCCTCTAGCCAAATCGTACCAATCAGCAGATGCATGCTCCTGATCAGCATCTGACCACCAGTCTTGAATATTTCGGCTGGTAACCCGTCGGCTCTTGCTGCTTTATTGTTCTTGAGCGGATTAATTGCTTTTATGACCTCATCATGACTAGGTGGTATACACTCTAAACCGTCATCTATTATTGGTTCTGGGGTATACTCTTCACCGCTACTATTTGATACCAGAAGTTTTTCAAAATGCTAACCAGAATGAAAATCGCTATCGTACTTGTTCTGTTCACATTCTGCACAGTGTCGGTGCTTTTCATACCTGCTGAGGCTGTTTTAACTCTGCAGCGTGGATTTCATGGTGGTGAATTTTACATTGAAGTCGATCAGAATGTAAGATTTTTAACCAGCCGAACAAATTGCTTGTGGCCAACATGGACTTTAGGGCTTGCATGTGAATTTAACATTTCATTATTTCAAAGGATAAACGTCTTCGTGGGCGAACATTTTTTTTCAAATACAAGTCCAAGTTTATAAAAAATTGGGACACAGTAGCTTCTCCACTATCCAGCGCATAAGGAAGGCAGTAATATCAGCAAATATCAACCAACAATTGTGTTATAGATCCATTAGTCACCCTATGTCCTTGAATACATTTCTATTTCCCGTATGTTTTGGTGTTTACATCGATGATCTTCAAGTAGTTTGTAGATTACTTCATTTGGTGTAGGACATACAATCAATTGCCTGCTTATCACACTAAGGTTCCGATTTAAGGATGGAATGATCTAAACATTGAACTTTGGGTGTTAACATCAATTCTCCTCAAGAAGCCTGTAAAAAGCTTCCATTGGAGTAGGATAATAAAATGTCTGTTTATCTCACTTAGGTTCGTGATGACTGATTTAAGGATGAAAAAATGTGAACATATTTTACCGGTCATTTGTTTATATATCAAATTATTTGTTATTTGTCCTCACTCTCCTTAATAAATGAGGTCAATTTCCTGTTAAATTTTTATCACCGAATAACAGTCTCGTTAGTGGAACATTAAAAAACTACGCCACCAAGACAAGGAATCCTGCCTCAGGTTATTGAAACTGATTGAATTACCTCCACACCTATCGTAGTCTTCGGATTTAGAAACCAGTAGCTTCTTACAATTTTTTTATGTTTACAACATTAAAATTTTTCTATTAAAATAATAATTCTTTAACATGTCCTCTCCATTATTTTTTCCAGTACAATTGGTTTGAAGCATCCCATGAATGTGCCCGAAAAAATCTTACTTTACTTGAAATATTAGACAACGACAAGAATCAAGAAGTATTGAGCGCATTGCAATTCTACATTGGTATTATAGTGTGTTTGTAGTCCCAATAAAATATATACTGATATATTTTCAAATTTTTAGGAAATTCTAATAACTTTTGGCTAGGAGCCAATGATGAATATAGCGAAGCTAATCCACGCCCATTTTACTGGTCATCTGGCAAACTTGTAACATTTACATATTGGAGCAGTGGTCAACCGGACAATTTAGACAAAGCTGAACATTGTTTACACTTATGGTCGGCAACAACAGATTTCCAGTGGAACGACGAACGCTGTACTCTGAAAATGGGATTTATATGTGAAAAACCTGAATAAATTGCAGCGAAAATAATTGACAAAATATTGTCATTATTTCAAAGTGATGAAAATATAAAATTCAATAAAATTAATTAATATTTGTGCATACTAAAATAGTAAAGTTTTATTTATATGGAATCTCGCAAAGGAAGGAAAAGTGATCTGTAGCTCTCACGAAGGCTAACATTGTTTCAGTTTTTTTGGAGCAGATGATATCAATAGTGAGGGTCCCCCTTAGTCCTCTCCCTTCAATTTAAACTTTCGGAGACGTATTTTTAGAAAGCTGGTAGTGTTGACAATATATATTAGTCCTCCTCCTTCAAAATGAAACCTTCGGACACATAAGTTGAGAAAGCAAGGCCTCATTCCCCCAATGACAGGATTGATGCTTCTCAAAGGGCAGTAGGGTAGGGAAGTTAATATATAGCTTCTATGTAGACTAGTATTTGATCCAATTTGGGATTGGTATTACCAGTGGTGTGTTTTAGAATGTCAGTAAATAGCCACAGTGGTGACAGTGGTTAAATAGTATTATAAACAATTTTGACGGTGCTGTATGATTTCGGATCAACATGCTTTTGGTAGACCTGACAATGTCTAAGTCTGTCTTGACCATTAGATTCATTTTCGATTATAGTTTGAGTTCGCCACAAGTGTCAACCACAAATTATTACCAATATCAGACACAATGGACCATTTCTTCCAACATCATATTCGATGGACAGCCCAAAACAGCAGCTTTCTTCATTTTCCGTAGCCCGTAAATCAAATATTTTTCGTACAGACTGTCGGAAAGTTTGAGGAAGTGATAAAAAAGATCCATTTTCGATTATAGTTTGAGTTCGCCACATGTGTCAACCACAAATTATTACCAATATCAGACACAATGGAGCATTTCTTCCAACATCATATTCGATGGACAGCCCAAAACAGCAACTCTCTTCATTTTCCGAAGCCCGTAAATAACATATTTTTCGTAAAGGCTTTCGAAAAGTTTGAGGCAGTGATAAAAAAAATCCTACCGAAAGCAAATGGTAATATCTTCTACTGTGTCACTTCTGATCGTTATGCTATAGTAGATCCCACCATGTCTACGTTTACAAAATCTTAGTCTTCACAACTAGATTCGCCATAATGAATGATTACCAATGAATTCCACTGTTGCTTTGCATAGGCAGAGAAAAAAATTTCCATTGAAACATGAGATTGATGAAAGTCGTCCTCTGTAGGATGGAACCTTAGAAAGTTATACTTAGGTAGGCTTCTGCCATCTGTTGTGTTTGCAGCTTTTCGACGTCGAGTTTCCGTATTGTGTTAGATCGCACCTTTGCTGCTACATTACGTTACGAACCTTGGCTGCTAAAAGGTAATGGTCCGAATCGATATTCGCATTGGATATGAAGTTCATTTCTCGTTGCTTCATCAGGAGAAATCCAGTTGGCCTTATGTATATCGAGATGCTTGAATCCGGTGCTGCTAACTACCATGATTTTTGCTGCCGCATATGCAATCAACCTCATGCCGTTGTCAGATGTTTCTTCATAGATACTGAATTTTTCGACGGTGGGACCAAAACTATTTTCCCTTCCGATTTTTGCATTAAAATCTCCTAGCAGAATTTTAATATCCAAATAACCAAAAATCATCTGATTTACTTACTTTACTTACAGTACGTTTACATTAAAATTTCGGAATTTTCCGAATGTGAGCAACTAACCCGGCGCCTCAACACATTTTTTTTTTATAGTTCTTAATAGTGAACTTGCGGCACATATCAGCTCCCTATTTTAACGGATGATGAAAGTAGCTACACCAAGTGACACGGCGGGGACGTCAGTGTCCACAATTGAATTGAAAGAGGGACCAAGATACTCCTGGGCTTTGCCATGTTAAAGCCAATCAGAGTCGTTGATTGGTATCTATCATCCCCTACACCGTCCTCCGTAGGGTAGAGTAATAATTTGACCCTTAGAAAGTTATATACGATGACTAGCAAAGTGCCCGCTACTTCGTATGCGAAAAGGGAATACAAAAACATATTTCATATGGAAATCGTGAATACTGTATAATTTGTTGTACTATAGTTCCGAATTCCACCTCTATTTCTACATCTAATATCATGTTTATTACCATTTAGTACTCTTCACATACATAAGCACTATTTTCCGAAATCCATTTTTTTTATTTTATTACACAGATTAAAACCAAAAAAAAAATACATATGGGAGCTATATCTAAATCTGAACCGATTTCCACGAAACTTGACACACATCATTTAGAACAAAAAATTAAGTTTTCGGTCCACTTCATGCCAAAATGGTTATCTGATCATCACCGAAAATTAAAGGCATTGTCCATGACCATAACTGGAACCTCATGGAAAATTTCAAAGCTATCAGGGTGATATTTCCGCCCTAGAAGCGTTTAAAGACCTTAAAATGCCTTTTTAGACCACAGAAAATTAAAATGCGTTTTCTAGGCGTTAGAAGCGTTTAAAGGCCTTAAAATACCTTTTTAGACCACAGAAAATTAAAATGCGTTTTTAGGCGTTAGAAGCGTTTAAAGGCCTTAAAATGCCTTTTTAGACCACAGAAAATTAAAATGCGTTTTCTAGGCGTTAGAAGCGTTTAAAGGCCTTAAAATGCCTTTTTAGACCACAGAAAATTAAAATGCGTTTTCTAGGCGTTAGAAGCGTTTAAAGGCCTTAAAATGCCTTTTTAGACGACAGAAAATTAAAATGCGTTTTCTAGGCGTTAGAAGCGTTTAAAGGCCTTAAAATGCCTTTTTAGACCACAGAAAATTAAAATGCGTTTTCTAGGCGTTAGAAGCGTTTAAATGCCTTAAAATGCCTTTTTAGACCACAGAAAATTAAAATGCGTTTTCTAGGCGTTAGAAGCGTTTAAATGCCTTAAAATGCCTTTTTAAACCACAGAAAATTAAAATGCGTTTTCTAGGCGTTAGAAGCGTTTAAATGCCTTAAAATGCCTTTTTAGACCACAGAAAATTAAAATGCGTTTTCTAGGCGTTAGAAGCGTTTAAAGGCCTTAAAATGCCTTTTAGACCACAGAAAATTAAAATGCGTTTTCTAGGCGTTAGAAGCGTTTAAAGGCCTTAACATGCCTTTTTAGACCACAGAAAACTAAAATGCGTTTTGACAACATGAAGTTGGTCTAATTGACGCGTATTTCTTGCAGTTCTCTCAAAATTACCGGCAAACTCTATTGATCTTACACCTGTGTTCCTGGTAGACTTGAAAACATACGTTAATATTTGCTGCATATATAATCCTCTTATCGGCAGAATAGTTTTGAGTTTGCGTCTAAAAAGTTGCAGGGAAGAATAACGCCGTGGTAGATTTAAAACAATTTTTAATGCAGTGTTCTGTGCTCGTTGCAGTTCTTTTATCGATCTATTGTTTTTATAGGCATATATTCCTGGTAGATACGTAAGATGAGAGTGAATCAATGCTTGATATATCAATAGCTTGCTATCTGTACTCAACAAACGATTAAACTTCCGCAGAATCCCTGTTGCAGAAGAAACTTTAGCTTTAACATTTTCAATGTGAGAATTCCACATCAAATTATTGCTCATAGTTATACCCAGATATCTAATCGAGCTTGATTCATTAACAGGAACTCCATCTATGTACACGGACATAACATCTCCACCTATGTGAGGTCTAAAACGAATAAATTTAGTTTTTGACGAATTTAGCACCAACTTATTTAGCCTGGCATACTCGGCCAATAAGCATGAGTCGTATGCAACTTGCACCTGCAGCACTTTCTCATCCATGTACTTGTAAAATAGGCTCACATCATCAGCATACATCACAAGTTTACCAAAAAACTGCATATTCTTTAAATCATTTATATAAAGTTTGAACAATAATGGACCGAGAACACTTCCTTGTGGAACACCATTTCTCACGCTTACCCAGCTACTTTCTGCGTTGCCGACTTCAACAAACTGAAAACGATTGTCCAAAAAGTTTTTGAAAAACAACAAAGTATCCGGTGCAAATCCAATACGTTCCAATTTATTAATTAATATCGTATGATCTACAAGATCAAACGCCTTGGTGAAATCATAAAATACTCCAGCAACTCCTTTGAATCCGGAATCTAGTTCCTTACAAATATGCTCAACAATATGAAATACAGCTTCATCAGTCCCACAGGCTTTTCTAAAACCAAATTGATTGGCAAATAAAATGTTGTTTTCCTCGATATATGTTGTTATCTGCTCAGAAATGATTCTTTCGAAAACTTTGTCAAGCACTGATAAAACAGCAACAGGTCTAAAATTCGTGATACTATTCGAACTTGTTTTCTTGGGTATTGGTATCACTTTATGAACCTTCAATATGTCAGGATATTTTCCGGTCGCAATCATACTATTGAAGATTCTGTGCAATACATCTGTTACCTCGGATTTCCTTACCAACAACATCCATGGCCGTATATTGTCAAATCCGCAGCTTTTCCTTGGATTTAACGCCTCAATTTCATTCAGTATACGAGTTCTATCAACTGACTGTAAAGAAAATCGACCGGTTTCCGTTGGAAGTGTCCTGAAAACATTAATATTGTCGTCATTATGGTGTTGCATGCCTTCCCTTAATTCTTCAACCGAATGATCAAAATACATGTTCAGTTTGTTGGCTTTTTCAATATCTTCTGTTACAGTATTTCCATTCCCATCGACAATGTCTCCAAGTGGTTTTTTTCTTCTACCTAATTCATTGTTTAGAAATTGCCAGATTTTCCTTACGTCACCGTTGCATGAGCTTATATTGCTTCTATAGAACTCGTTCCTTAGGCTTCTGCTGCAAAATTTGATAACATTGCTTATCCGCTTCAACTGATTTCTAATACTTGGATCATTTTTCCTTCTGCGTCTCAAATAAAGCAACTTTGTTTTATGTTCAATCAAAGAGGCCAGTTTATCTGTCAACCAAGGAGCAATACTTTGTCGTCTATTAACAAATTTCGTTGTAACTTCTGTACTTTTAC